AGTTAATCCTTAAATTCTTTAGAGCAGATGCCAGTTCCTTAGGCATCCTGTGTTCATAGGCCTCTAATGTCTTCATACTTCTCCACTGACTCTTCTGCCCTCACACTTGCACAAAAAGAAAAGCTTCATTCATCATAGCAAACATAAAGTACTTGCATACGCTTGGCCCATTGTCAGCATTTCATATGTTGGCTCATTTAATCCTCATGACAGCCTTATGAGATAGGTACTATGATGATCCTCATTCTATAGCTAAGGAAATCAAAGCTTAGAGAAGCTAAATAACGTGCCCAAGATCACACAGCTGCTAGCTAACTGAAAAAATTGGCATTTAAACCCAAGCAGCCTGCCGCATACTTCTTGCTCTTAACCAGTACATTCTTCTGTCTCCCCTTTTTAATTTTAATCTATTTTCTTCACACCTTCTATTTCTAAATGCTTGAACCTTTCACTTCATCTTTCCCCAATCCTTGGTCTAACTCTATAATCTCATTCGGTCTCCACTACTGTCTCAGAAGTCATTGGTGATGTTTTTAACAAGTCCGATGGGCTTTTTTTCCATTCTTAATCTCAAGGCAGCTTTTTATACTTTTGCTCACTTCTTTCTTGAAACCTTGCTCATTCTGTCTTTAAAGCTGCATTATTTATGTCCTCTTGAGCATCTTTCCATGTATCTTCTCTTTTTCTTTCTCCTCTGTCAACTCTTCTTTTACCTTGTATTTGTGAATTGTTGGAAGGGGTAGTTCTCACACTGTACACTTTATTGTAAGGGAGTGTAAAATAATGAATTAAGTCCTTGCCCTTATGTTACACACTGGCTTATAAAAGAGAAAAACATGCACATATAGCAACATAGACCTTAAGTATTAGAATCAAAAAATCTGGTAAGTAGAAGAATAACATAATGAAGGATTAATCAGATATGCTCACAGCCTCTACAGAGGAAGTAGTCCTGAGTTGAGGTGCCCCAGACTATGTAAGTTCTCTGAGCCCTGGGATTCCATGGCAACTTGTTTTAGGCCTATTGGATTTTTCATCAGTAGAATTATACTCTATATATTTGCATGAGAGAAGTTTTCTAATTTATTCATGTTACATACATAGGGATTATTTCCGTGTATAAGTATAATTTCTGAACCCGGTCCTAAATTTTGTTTTATAGCTAGATTTCTCCCCTATAGCAGTGAATCTACTTGAAGCATAATCAGGGATTCTACCAAAATATTCATATTGCCCTGTATAAATACATTATGCTACTTTTTAAAAACTGTGACCTAGATGAGGAATGAGAATATTTATTACAACCTCTATCCCAAAACTTATCTAATTCTTAATTTGTAGTTATTTCAGATCCATTTCTCCCATATGCTTTAATTTCTGTTTTTCTTCTAGATATCATTAAAATCCCACCCCATCCCATCTCTTTTTTTTGTTTGTGAGTCCCTGCTCTAAGTCACGTAAACCCAGAATCCTAAACTTAGCTTTGATATCTTCCTTCCCTATAACACAAACTTTTTTAGGTCCCTTAACTTTTCCTTCACTGTTAACTAGAATACATTCCTCTCTATCATTAAGGGGCATTCTTCACTTTTCTGTTCTCACAAGTAGCTCTTGGTAAGCCTTAGCTTTCTAAAATCTTTTGGCTGTCCACTCTTTGATTGTTCTTGCCTGCTTTAGTTAGACTGATCTTAAAATACGAGTTTCAACATGTCAATACTAAACTTAAAAACCTAAAATACAGAAAGATGACACAAAAGTGATTAAGAGTATGGACTCTTGAGTTAACTGCCTAGAGTCACATCCCAGTTCACTACTTACTAAGTGTGTGATCTCTGGCAAGTTACAAAAGCTCTCAAACACTGCTTTTACTTTTCTCATCTCGTAAAGTGGAAGCTCATGAACCAGAAATGAGTAAACATTGATAAAATCTTTAAAAGAGAATAATAATCAGTCAGCCACCTTTAGCTGTTTGTCATTATTGATGTTATTGTTACTACTAACACAATCTAGTGGTTCTCAGTGGTCTACTCTATCAGATCAGCCCAGAATTTTTGCTCTGTTATGCTTGGTTCTAAAAATGAGGCAGCCAGAAAAGATTACCTATCTCATAGAATTTTTATGAAAATCATATGAGATATAAACTACACAAGTGTCATTTAATATATAAAGCACAAAGCAAATTCTAGCATTTAATAGTAAAAGATACAAAAATCAAAAGTTCTCCAGAAACTAAACTCTTAAATCCAATGAAGCTAGGATTTCAAGAGGCAATAATAACAGAACCAAGAGTTTAACATGTCTTGGGATCAGAGAGATGGGTCTGAGGACCTTCAGACTCTGGCCCTAAGGAAAAAGGTTAGAGAGCCTAAAGGAAATGAGGTGTAGTCGTCCACAGTTGTTGAATGCTTTCTCCATGCCAGGAACTGTGCACAGTATTTGACATGTGTTCTCACATGTAGTCCTCACAGAACACTCTGAGCTTGGTAGCATTACCCATTTCATAGATAAGAAAACTGAAGCACCAGATGGTTAAGTAATTTGCCCAAGATCACACAGTCACAGATCTGATCTCAGTCTGGTTCTGTGCTACTTACGATATTTCCTCCATGAAAATTCAGTGCATATTACTGTTTATGGTTCTGAGAAGTCCTAAAGGAAAAATTCTCCTATAACATTTTTAGATCCAGCAGTTCCCAAACTTAAGTCTTTTACTCTGCTTTAACCCCCCACCCCCCCTCCCAAAAAATCTATTGTCACAATTGAGGACAGTTTTAGAAATAGTAAATAAGAAGCAGATTTTTTTGCTAGAGCTGAGCTTTCAGTCTGACTTCAACCTATAATAGCTAATGTTGTCTGAGTGCTTATTTTGTACTAATACAGTTCTAAGTGCTTTACGTGTGTTAACTCATACTGTCTCCCAGGAGTCCTATGAAGTAGGTAATGTTATTAGCCTTGTTTTTACTAACGAGGACCTGAGGCACTGAGAGGTTATTTGCTCAAGATTAGATAGCTCCTGAGGGCAGAGCTAGGACTTACCCAGGCAGTGTGGCTACCCAGGTTGTACACTTTAACCCACCGTGCTTTATTGCCCCTCTTCGTTTAGAACCTGGGCCCTGATAGACTTGGCCCTTCCATAGTCCATAAATTATACCCGATCTCCTCAAGATTTTGAGTCAGGTTGAAAATCTCCAGTATTTTTAGTAGGTCCTGATAAGTTTTCCTTGGTCTCCTCCCACTTCCAGTCCTTCCTCACCCTTGGTTATGTAATTTGGTTTTTGCTAGAGCTGAGCAAATTACTTAACCATAATTACACACCAGACCACTCACTCTTCAATCTTCACAATCTAGCATCGTAGTTAGACAGACCTGGGTTCAAGACCTGGGTTCAGACCTGGGTTCAGAAGAGGAGACTGAGATGAAAAGTGTTTAAACTTGTTGAGGTCTTACTGCTGGTCTGTTGTTTGAATCCATGGATGCAAAACCTGGGGATATGGAGAGTCAATTGTATATTTATTGGAAAAAATCCTCCTATAAGTGGCCACGCAGTTCACTCATGTTCAAAGCTCAATCCTGTATAAATTGAATCTCTGCCTAATTCTCAGATCGGCTAGTGAATTAGGTAGTTGAATTTTCTTTATTTTTCTGTCTTACAGCTGATGGTTGCAGAGAAGAATGGAACAATACGATTTTATGATCTTTTGGCCCAACAGGCTATTTTATCTCTTGAATCAGAACAGATGCCATTAATGTCAGCACACTGGTGCTTAAAAAACACCTTCAAAGTTGGAGCTGTTGCAGGGAATGATTGGTTAATTTGGGATATTACTCGGTCCAGGTACTTCCTTAATATGTTTATCTATTGCTTACTAAAATAATCAGTCACTATTGCTCCATGACCCACTGAGCCATTTTTGTATACGTCGCCCTCACTGTAGAGCAAAAACAAGTGTCTCCTATAGAAGGGCCAGAGATGTGGGTTTTTACAGAACAGAGGTGGGCATCTGTGCTTTGCAGATTTATTTTGATAGTAATCCTGAAAGAAAAATGCAGAGGAGGAAATCTTTGATCTGAGCAATGTTAAAAAAAAAAAGAAGAAGAAAAACACTGACCCTCTTGAATGATGGTGTTCTGTAATAGTTCTAAATCATGTTTCTGTCTTTATCACATTTCATCTATTTTAATCCCATGCTTATTTGGAATTTTGTCACAGTTTAAATATGTTGGGCATTGTTTCTTTTAAAAAGAAAACAGGTTTTAAACCTTAATTTAAGTTCTTCTACTTGAGACAAGCACATAATTCATAAAATCCAAAATATTATCTTTTAGTTACCCTCAAGAAAAGAGACCTGTCCACATGGATCGAGCCTGCTTATTCAAGTAATGTACCGTTTTTGTTGGAGCTATAATTTGATTTTTTGAGTTTGGTTATTTTGTTCATGCTGTGTCACCATCTAGAATACTTTCCCAATCCTCTCCTTTGCCCTGATTGTTTGCTTGTGTGTGTGTGTGTGTTTGGGGGTCTTATTTTTTTTTATGATTCTTTATAAATGGCTGTTTTCCTTTCTTAATTAAGTTTTTGTTTTTGTCTTTTGGTTTAGACAGGGGAGTGATTTGGTTTTTCAATATTCTTTTTTAAAATTTTTTTAAAACACAAAACATGTTGCCACTCCAGTACCACCCTAACAATTTGGAGCATATGCTTTTTAATTTTTCGTTCTGATAAAGATATAAAATGTAGGACCCATGTTTTACACAAATACATTTCATTTTTGTGCTTTAAATGAGAACTTGCTTGATATTATATATATGTAATTTGCTCTTTTTTGCTTAAATTAACATACACGTCTACCTTGTTCTTCATCTTATTTTTGCACAACATTGCATTGTATAACGTTTAGGATGCTTTCAGTTTCGAGTACTAGGAAAACTTACTAACAGACACTAAAACCGGTACAACATTTATTATATGCTATATTATACCAATCTAAAATATCCCCAATAAAATTGTAGAACTTGGAGACACCATTATTTTATATACTCCTAAGAAAAAAATGTATTCAACTAAATGTAAGAATGCCATGAATTATAAAATGTATACTGATTTCAGAGATGTAAGTATACATTTTAAAATCAATGAACTATGGTACTTAACAAGAAATCTGGAGGAAGCAATCTCAGGCTTGGTTTAGTAGCTCATTAGTGTTATCAGGAGTTCAAACCTTTCCCTCTGCCTGCTCAATGGCGAGACTTTGAACTTGTTGCTTCATAGTCGTAAGACGACTGACTACCAGAGTTCCAGGCATCATAGCTTCATATCACATTGTCCAAAGAGGAGAGGAAAGAGCACTCCCTTTTCATTGGGGATTGCTATCCTTGCCTTGAACCAATTGTGTCTCATACCTTGGGGGCTGACACACTGTGCCAGAATGTAGTTGGGGTTCAGTTAGCAAAGGAAAGAGGTTGAATAGCTGTTGGACAAGCAAATAATAATGTCTGCCATACTTTTTTTTTTTTTGTCAAGGAATCCTTTCTTTTTCTTATATCTCCTCTACTATATTTTCCAGTTTTAGGATCCGTGCTGCCGAAGCAAGCACACTACTGCACTTACTATAATGTTGAGCATGTCGCTGGAGCTCCATTAACACTCACTGATTCATTGACTCATTATATTCCAATATCTAGGTTGCCCTGAAACGTAAATATTCAGCTATCTATATATTCTGGGTGTTTGTATCATCCCAAGGAGTTTAAACACATGAGTTTATCGTTAACTTATAACAAATGTCAATAAGAACATTAAAAGTGTTTTTTTAATGTATTATACTGTGAAATACTTTGTATCTGCCTGATGCCTTCTTGTATCTCCTACCATACTGTCAGCCTTTTGGTAATAAGAAGGGAATTGTTAACCTTGTGTAACTTTGGAACTTAACAAAGAGGCACACAGTAAATACTTAATATTTACAGAATGAGAAAATGAAATTGACTTCCCTGGAATTCCCAGTCTAATTGTCAAGCCATATTATCAAATTTAGGGTTATAAAATTATTATTTTTGTACAAAAACAAATAACCTGTTTCAGAAAAGCTTGTAGTTATCAATAAGATACTATGCTTATGTTTATCTTTTGTTTTTTCTTAGGTGGTCCACAATTAATGAAAACTTGTTTGCAACCACTGGTTATCCTGGCAAAATGGCAAGCCAGTTTCAAATCCATCATTTAGGACACCCTCAGGTAATGTGGAGATGTTTTATGGCATATATATTTTTAATTTTATGTTTTCTACTTTTTTGGTCATAGCCAGTTGTTTAAATCACTAGAGGTAATAGACTTTTTATCAATATTCATATAAGAAGCATTTTATTTCTTCTGTTATACTTCCTCCATTTAAATATAATAATTTTGCTTGCTTGCTTGGTTTAGACTGCAAAAATATTTGAGCCTGGGCTGTACCAGTTTTTCATAGATTACTTATATACTTCATTTCAGCCAGCTGCAAACAAATAATGCTTATTTCACCTATGAGGTTTCTCCTATAAATAGACAGTGTTTCAAAACATTTCTTATTTTCGAAGGGTTGTTTTTGTTTATTAACTTGGATGATTTATTGAGCTTCTTTAATTCTTCACCTGTTTTGTAGCCCATCCTCATTGGTTCTGTTCCAGTTGGATCTGGCCTTTCCTGGCATAGAACTCTCCCACTATGTGCAATTGGAGGAGACCACAAGCTGTTGTTTTGGGTGACTGAAATGTAAAATAAATTTTCTGGATACCTTAGATCCATAAACTTTGTATTTTTAGTACATATTTGGTAGAATTCCTTATTTTTATATTAAATATACTGTAAGCTCTAGAAATGTCCCATTTGTTTTTGTTAAATAAAAGATTGATGGTTTGAAAAATTATATTCCTACTCTGTTCTATGTGTGCGTGTGTGTGTGTGTGTGTGTGTGCGCGCGCGCGCTTTAATCATCTCTTGACTATAACTCAGCAGCTCTAGAAAAGAGATGACTAAAGAAACTGCTTTTGATTTTATCAAAAGTACAAACTTTTTGGGATACACTTTCCAAAGTATATCCCATCTTCTATACCTTAATTATACGCTGTTTCCCTAGTTCTCAGGGACACAAACATTTACAAAAGGAGAAAAAGGTCTCCTTTCACTGTTACTCTGGAAGTAGCTGAATATGTATATGTGGGTATATGCATTTTTTTAGTAATCTATTATGTGTAGGAGTCTTACAACTTCTTCAGGAATTGTAAAGGATCATTATTCAATTTAATATAAAAATGATTTTCAGTTTCTTAAAATTGTGACTGATTATGTTAGTCAACCCTGTTTACTGTGCAAATTCCTTTTGACTGGATGTCTCAGCATTCTTAGAACATCTGGTGTATGGGATAAAGCTTACCTTGAAAAATGACTTATTCAATACTTTTAACAGCCTCTACCTTTTATAAATCTTCACCATTCTTAATCAAGAAATTTAAATGCTTTTGAGATGACATCCAGTGGCACTAGAACTGTGTTCTCAGTCTCAAAGCTCACTGAAATCATTATGTAAGGCAGCCATATCATGTTTCTAATGGTGCATTGTAATGTAATCAGAGGAGTATAAGCTAAGGGTTCTGCTTGTCAATAGGTATAGAGTTAAATAAATGTCTACAAACTCTGCATTTCTGTGAGTTAATGCCATCTCTAAAGCTGCATTTCCTCTTGTAAAATAGAGATAGGAATCACTGTCTCATAGAGATACTGTGAGGATTAAGTAAAGGTGATTAAAAATACCTAACAAGTGTCTGCCACACGGTTCAGAGATTTGTAGGTATTTTTATTTCAGAGATGTATAGTTCTTATTTTTGAGAAATTGGAAGTTTATTTTTAATAATGCCAATAATTTTTTTATTTTGTAACTAACTTTATTTTTATGGTGACATTGGTTAACAAAATCCATCACTAACTTTATTATTATGGTGACATTGGTTAACAAAATCCATAAGTTGCAAGTGTACAATTCAACAGTAATATATATATATATATATATTGCATTGTGTGTTCACTGCCCATAGTTAGATTTCTCTCTGTCACCACATATTTGACCTCTTTTACCCACCTTCCTCCCCCTTCCCAATAAATATTTTTGACTCAAGTTTTCTATTCATGGGATGTCTTATAAGTATCTGAGGGAATCAAGAAAATTATCTTTAAGAAAGGGAAATGTTGCAGGTAATTTTAAAAACTTTAAGAAAGTTTTATAATGTAAATGTTTGGTATAAATTGTTATATGTTTTAAAGTACAGATGAAAAATTACAGCAATTTCCATATTATATAATACAGTAAAATATTACTACCAAATAATAGAAATAGCTTCCCTTACCCCTTTATAAACAGATTTTGAACTTAAAAAAAGCAAAGGGCAGAGAATTTTGACATGGTTCCCTTTAATAGTTTCTGCGATGCAACAGAGAACCATAAAAACATCAGAATGGGCCAAAGAATTTGTCATTTCAGGACATATCCTGATAATAAGGGATACGTCCTGAAATGACAAATTGAACCAATATATTTGAAAATTTTCTTGCACTTAGTAAAGTTGACTTAGGAATTGAGTGGGTTATGTTTAGGGATGGAGATTGAAGAGGTGAGTATATTGGGCTTGGGTATTTGGCTGTCTAGGATATAGGTTTTCTGGAATAAGGGCTTACCCAAATATGAAAATTGTCTGATGAAATTACTCAATAGAACTATTACGTGTTAAGGGAAGCTGTCTTGGGATAACTCATGGTGGTTGTGTAAATAGTTGTGCCAAAGAGAGACAGATAATGTTCCCCTGAAGAGAAAAAATGGTGGAAATTAATATGGTGACTATGAGGTAAGACATTCTCAAAAAATGAGAGGGATATCTTTACCTCTTATTTTCAGGAATGGTATACATTTTATCCTGAGTAAGCACTGAGAACTGTAACCTTTTCTTTCTTTAGATCTTACATACAAGGCTATGCAACCATTTTACAATGTATACTTTGTTGTTAAACTTTAGTGTATTCAATTACTTTTAATAGTGTAATGATATTCTATTTCATTAGTAAACTTTATTCTTAGTAAACTATGTTTAAATTAGACTAAGGCAGGAAGAAATGTTTAATGGGGAATTAGTTATTGGTCATCACTTCTAATCCTGCTAAATAACATGAGATCTGATTGTGTGTGTGCCTATGTGTGTCCCAGTTAGTTTTAGTTTTTCCATGTTTATAAATATGTCTAAGATGGTTTTTCTTTTGTTGAAGTTAAGTTTTCCTCAAGATTGCTTCACTTACATTGTGAAGAGAAAAAAAAAAGTTGTATAGATGTTCTAAAACTTGTATTATTTAGGACTGTTGAAGCAAAAGTCAGGATATCACAAATCTGCAAGATGTCATAACTAAATCCTTCTCTTACAAAATGATGGGATCATACATCCCATTTTATTTTATGATTTGGCTTGTACATTGCGAATATTTCGATGTCTCTCCCATGCCAAAACTCAAAATTGCACACCCGTGCACTCCAATTTGTTTCTTTGGTAATTTGCAACTACATACTGACACTGACCTAGAAATGTTCCTGTTGCTGTTTTAAATCTCATGTCAGTGGAGAAGAAACTGAAATCTGGTTTGCACATTTGTGTCTGGTTTTTTGTAATTGTCCAAAATCTGACATTATCCCAGAAATGCTGATTGGGAAGTTATGAGACAGTATTGTGCCCAACGCTAATTTCTGAGGAGAGAAAAAGTATTTGTTCCAGATTATTTCCCATGTTTTTCTGTAGCTCAAAAAGTTAAACGCAATTTAACCCAACTGTATGCCATACCAGTAATAGCCTTAATTCTGAACTCAAATAAAATTTACAAATAAAAATTACCATTAGGATGGTCCATTTCCACATTTTCCTCATGAGAGCTTGGTCAGGTCCTCAGAAGCAGCATTCTGTTCCAGTATATCATTATCAAGCTGTCAGTGTCCTCAGGAACAGGAACAGGAGAGAACACTCTGTTTCTTTAATCTAACACCTTGCTGATTCAAAAACATTTATTTTAACGGGCATTGGAAAAGATTTTCAAAACAGCTAACATTCGTTTCTAATTATATATTTAAAGAAATATGCCCTTTAAAAAAATAGGTACTTTTCTTAATATTAACGTGACTTTAATGTATAGCAACTGTTTATTAACTAAACACAGTAACAACAAAATAATTAGGATGTCAGCTTTGAGGATCTCATTTCACTAAAGGAAAAATGAATACACATTAGATGACATAACCATTACTCAAACTCAGCAGAACCAATTTCTTTTGTATGCATGGACACAGCCTTAATGGGAAATGTAATACAAAAGCATTGAATCTACTTTCTGACCTTTTCAGCTGTTCTTTGAACTACCTTAGTAAAAACAACTGTTGCCCTTATGTAGGATCAAGTTACATTTGCCTGGAAATTTCTTAGTATCAGCTTATTTCTGTTTAACTTATGTCTGTTATATAGCTATTTGCCTTCTCAACTAATTTTTAACAATATTCAACCTTGGGACTTGTAACACTTACATAAAAATTTATAAAATCCATATGAACAACACTAAGTTGAAGGGGAGGCCACCAGGTTTCTCAGCCTTTGCAAACAATTTGAGTAACTCAATAGATTTAAAGGCGTATGAAATAAGCATTTCTACCAACTGCATTTTTAGTGCTGTATTGAGTTCAGAGCCTATTTCCTTAGTTTGTAGTAAAAGGCAATAAATGCTGCTGGTATCTTTGCTTCTAATGGTGGTTAAACACAAAACTTTGATCTTTTTTTTATAAACACAGCTGTCCTATCATTGAGCCAAATCCAGAGAAGATTAGACTCTAGTTGAAATTAAGGTTAATCTCTGCAACCATCTCAAGTAAGAGCTTTCTAATACTGTTTTAGGAAATCTCTATTTTTGAGACAGTGTTTAAAGGAAATAAGCCCCAGACAACGAACCCCTAAAGTAAGCCAGAGGCAACTAGTGATAAATTATGCCACAGCAATAAAGAAGATAGACTCCCTAAACAAATTTATTCATTTTGGTTCATTTTTACTTAGACTATAATTGTAAGAAATGACTTTCTTAGTTGACTTTAAGTTTAAACCAGACCAATATGTTATTTTTTAAAGAACTTCTTTCTTCCATCTTTTCTTAATTTAATGTTTCCTTGGTTAATAGCTAGTTCTTTCTTCTACCAGTATGAAAACTAGGTAGCTATTTATTAGAGATAAAATAACTCATTATAATTATTGTATAATTGCTCAGTTTGGTTTCCAGCCTATGAAAAAAAATATTTTTTTCTTTAAGATTTAGACTCTCTGGAGTTTTATATACCTTGCCAAATGTTCTGTAGGGCTAATTCTCTTGAGCATTGGACACTAGCGCCTCAAGCTGTGTTGTGAACAGCCAATGATGCATCTCTCTCCAAACTTCCTGTACCAAGGACAACATCTGTGTGTGTAACCATCACTGAAATCTATGGAGCTCTAATAAGATTTCCCTGGTGCTTGATTTTGAGCAAGTGTATGATCTGGTCATATATACAGCTGCATCAGAGATCTCACCCCACAAATACTTTAAGCCCCAAGCCATGGAACAATTCTGGAATTTTTTTTTTTTTTTTTTTTGGTGTTTTTGACCTATTCCTTTTCTCATCGTTCCATTCACCTGCCAGATAACTAAGATGTGTTCACATGTGTTTATAATTTTTACAAAACCCTCGCTCATTGCTTCCCAACTTATTGATAACAAATAACTGGGAGAATAGAATTATTGCAAGAGTTTCTCAATGTTATATACCTATTAAAACTATCAAAATCCTCTTTTTCCTTTGAAGCTATGACCTCCTGAGAGATTATA